CCCCAGGTCCGCCCTGGTGGAGGCGGCCCCCTCCCCCACCCAGGCGGTTTGCAGGTATTCTCCAGAAACTTCCTCTGCCCAGAACGAGCATGGGCTTTGACGCTGCCTGGTTTGGCAAGTTCTTCGAAAACCCCGATCATGCGGACCATTACAACAGGGGGTTGGCAAAGGATCAGATCACTGGTGCCAAGTCAAGTCCCGCAGGCTTTCCAAGAGCATCCCAAGGTAAGGCCCACACCACCCGTGACACCTGCGAATCCCTCCCATCAGCCCCGTCAAAAGGGCGCCAGTTTGAACCCACCCCCAAAACTCCCTCGGAATTCGGGTGGGGAGGCTGGGAGCTCAGGGTCAGGCCTTTATCCTGCATTAAACAGTCTCCCAAGGACTAACTTGGCGCAGACCACGTCCGCATCACCGCTCTCGTCAGAGGGTGCGTCCTAGGTCCCAGGGCGCCAAGGTCAGCTGATAGAGTCACCCAGCCTCTCACGAGGACACGGCGCTTTGTCTTTGTTCCCACAGCAAGAAACAGCCAGACCCGGCCTGCGTCCTAACTGCCTGTGGACTAGAGGCTCCAGCCACTCGGACAGAGCAATGAGCGCTCTGTCCACTTTCCTGACGGTGGACAGACGCCCAGCACAGACCACGTGTGTGTTCTGGCTGCGGGGAGAAGGCCCAGCGCCCCCCCGCTTTCCGTGATCACCTTCCGGGCGCGGCCATGCAGCCTCTGGGCCTGGGGGCCATACTGCAGGGAAGCCTGAGCCAGCAGGAGGCTGGGTGCTCCCCACTGGCCTCCCTCAGCCTCAGGAAAGGCCGCTTCCGGGGCTGCTGGCCATCCCCACCCACACCAGCTCTGGAGCACACACGGGGGGGACGTGTTATGGCCACTTCCGTAAGGGGTCCACGGCTAGCAGCTCGAGGCTTCCGCTGGGACCCGCTGAGCAGCACCGGACTGGCATGGGTGTGTGTGCGGGGCGACGTATGCACGCTCACATAAACACATCATCCCCTTCCGACTGAGGCTTCTCCTGCACTTGCCTTAACCACGATCCGTGTTCGGACCAAAAAATAAAAATAACAAACAACAATAAGCATCTCTCGTAAATGCTCTCATGAGCTAACACTGAAAACCTCTGTTCACACCTGGTCTGGGATTACACACCTGCGTCGGGTATCTGAGCCCCCGCCCCCCGCCCCCCGCCTGGGATCACGCCTTCTTGGAAACAGGGCCCATAATTCCAGCCCCAAATCGAGGTGGAGAGAACCTCTTTGCACGCAGGCTCCCTGGGCCTCAGAACCTATGCCCGGGGGGCCCCAGGACCACAAGCATGGCCGGAAACGCCGGCGGCCCCGCAGCGGCTGCCAGCTCAGGGGGCGCTGAGGCTCGGGGCAGGAGGTGAGGAGACACTAGTGGTCTGGAAACAAGACCGTGCTCCCGGGGAGACCGAGGCGGAACGTCGGGGGGCGCGGAGGAGGGCGGAGCTGGTGGAAAGTGAGCTCACGACGTGGGTGGAGGCGTGGGACCCTCCAGTCAGGGTGCAGCATACAGCGAACGCGGGTGTTCCCCACCTCGGTGGCAGGAGCATCAGGGTGGGTGTCGGCAGGTGCCCGGCCGGGAGTCAGAGCCGGGAGCCAGCGGGGAGGTGGTGCTCCTTGCAGAGAGCAGCCCGGAGCCCTGCTCCTCGAGCCAGCACGGGATGCTACACCGCGAGGCTGACGGCTGCACCCCTGCAGGCGAGAGGCCATGCTGCGGGCTCTGCGGCCAGGGCCCCACTGGACCGAAGGGGCCCAGAGACTCGCGGGGGCCCTGGCACCTTCTCGAGGGCAGATCC